CACTACAGGTAAAAACAAACATTTTTCTACCCAGTACTATATTGGGGACTGAGCTCAGGGACTCACACGGAGCTACATTCCAACACCTTTTCGCTTTTTAAAATTTTGAAACTGGGTTTTGCCAAGTAGCCCAGGCTGGACTTGAACTTGTGATCTTCCTGCTTCAGCCTCCCTAGCAGCTGGGGTTATAGGCATGTCTTACCATGGCTTCAATTTTTAAAAATATACAAAGTTTAAGAGTGATGCAAGTAACTTTTTCTATCTAGAAGTGCCATAATATCTGGAGTGCCATTTATGCACCAATTTTTTTTTTCTCCCTTCCTTTCTCTTTTCTTTTTTGGTACTGGGGATTGAACTCAGGACCTTGTGCTTGTGCGGCAGAAGTGGTGCCACTGAGCTAAATCCCTGGCCCCTTTCTTTTTTTCAGCAAAAATGCACCAATTTTCTTAGAGTTGACATTTTGGGCCACATGGGCTGTAAGTCTGAGTAGCGGCTTGCACAGGTGAAGTGAAGCATGGAACGCAACAGTGCCCTGTGATCTGAACAAAACATCTTGCCTTCCAGAGCTGCCCTAGTATAAGTGAATGAAAAATGGAGCCAGACAAAGCAATTTCCAGATGACTGGCTGAAATGCACTGCTTTGATTACACAATTAAAAATGCTCCTCTTGCCCAGAAGTTGTATGCCATGGGCCCCGAGAGACAGTTTGGACACAAGGCCAAGCTGGCATGAGGGTCTGCTGAGTAAGACACCTGTGCAATACATGTCCAGGGAGAATCCAGGGAAGAAGAGATGGTTTAGTCAGTATGTGTGGATAGTCCAATGCTTCTTGAGTCAAAGCCATCTATAAATACTTAAAATAAGACCATTTCTACCACTTTGCCTTAGGGCATAAAGAAAAAATGCTCAGGTTTTTTTCTGTCTTTAAGCCAGTTCTCTAGCCATGGTTAACAGTGACTCATTGAAAGAAAGAAGTCCACTGGCTCTTCTTTGACTGCCCACTTACTAAAACCTTGGCTAAGAATTGAAAGTGCTAATTTGGGCATGGTGGTGTGCACCTATAATCCCAGCACTTGGAGGCTGAGGTGGGAGGATTGCCCTGAGTTTCAGGGCAGCCTGAACTAAGACCCTATCTCAAAAAAAAAAAAAAAAAAAAAAAAAAAAGATTTGAAAGTGCTGATTCTGTTGCATGCCTGGCACCCAGGGAAGGCTCTTGCACAACGGTCTGGACTCCTCAGAACCCTGGCTCTGCTCTCTGCGCATGTTGGGTAACACTAGGGCACAGTGGAGACTTCAGGAGGGGACAAAACAGAATTTATTATTTGTATTTCTTTTTTTGTTTATTTGCTTAAGATAAGGTCTTGATACATAGTTCAGGCTGGCCTTGAGCTCATAAGTGATTCTCCTGCCTCAGCCTCTCAAGTGCTGGGATTACAGGTTTGCTATAGGTCTGACTGAAGAGAAACCACTTTTTTTTTCTGGTTTCTTGAGATAGGGTCTCACTATGTAGTTGAGACTGACTTGGAACTCACTATGTAGCCCAGGCTGGTCTCGAACTCAGAGTACCTCAGCCTCCACGGTGCTGGGATTACAGGTGTGCGCCACCATGCCCAGTGAAACCACTTATTTTTGCCAGTTATATTTGCTATTTCTTTAATGGCGTGGCACCTGAATACTAGTTCTGCTATTCAAAGTGGGAATAGAAATGGTGGCCTTCGTTTGATGACTGTTTGCTAGCATTCCCCTCTTTAGTTTCCCCACTCTTGGTCTCCCTCCTATATGCCCTATAATTCTCCTTCCAAGTGGGAGCTGTGACCATCCATCTGCTCTGGCAATTACGGGTACCACATAATTGGTTGGGAATAATGATTTTATCTTGATATTCTTTTAATAATTTTAGCCATGTCCTCTAGTCTTGGAGACTTAGTGGGTTTTCCTTCATCTGTCTCAAGCTGCTAAGAGGCATAGTGGTGGTAGAGGTATTGTCACCCTTGTGAGTGCCACTGGCCCTGGACTCTCCAGCTGCCATGCTGGGGCTGAGCCACAGGAGGGGGATTAACCAGCCTTTTAGGCAAACTTGTACTGGGAGCTGGAAATGCCAGAACTGGGTAAATAGCAAAGGGGAAATGGGGGCAGGGATGGGACAGGACACAGAGATCACAATCAAGATGCTCATAGCACAGGAGGAATCAGGCTGGGGACGAGAGTGGTTATGGTTAAAAAGGGAAGGTCTCCATTGTCCAGCTAAACCCAGAAGGGCAAGGGAAGCTGCCAGATGGACAGTGTTCACGCAGTCCCCTTTGGCCACATTTGGGGTTTCACCTTTGTTTCCCAGGACTGATCTTTCCCTTGAGTCCCTCGGCCCACCCTCCCCTTAGAGGAGGAAACCTGTCAGCCCCCTTTCCATGCCAAGAAACTTTCCTCCATGGGACCTGCTTTCTCTTGGACAAGGTGACGATTCCTGTTCCCCTACCTCTGGGGCTGTGTTCCCTTAACCTCCTTGCTTGGATTTGCAACCCCACCTCTTCTACTGCTTGTCCACGTTAGAAAGTCCCCTCTTGGGGACTGTGATGCAGTTCTGGGGCTCTGCCGTGCGTTACAACGATTTATTTGCCTTACTGTGCTTATTACCTCATTCCTTGTGGGGACAGAGACTGTCTCCCTTATTTATGTAACATCTGCCAGGCCAGCACAATATCTTACACTGGTGGGGCCAATAAATATTTACTATGCTCAATTTTATGATAATTCTGATTTCTAAGAACAGGTAATCATATTTCCCTGCACTTTTTTTCTCATTCCTAAATAGAGGCACAATAATGTGGTCATAATTACAAATGATCTGTCTATAAATAAGACAGCTGCTGGCTTCTCTTTTATCCCTCACAGACATAAAAATATTTCCAACCTCATTGGTTCCTAAACCATTTTCTAGGGCAGCTGCTATTGGTCTCTTCAGAAAACATTACTATCACATCCATGAGCTGCCCATCACGATGCTGAGCCCCTTCCCATCACTTTCTGGTCAGTCTGCAGCTCTCCACTGGGCAGATATCTCTAATACATTTTGTCCATCTTGCTCATACACCTTGAACTATACAATGCTAAGGGACTGAGCAGCCCAGTGCCATCGTTTGTGGTGTCCCTCACGTGTCATCTGCTCATGGGCTGTGGTCTGCCCTCCTGCTCTGAGTCGTTTACATCAAGGTCCTCACAAGCTTCCAGCACTTCAGTTCTGCTTCTTCTTCAGGCTGCTGGGGAACAGGCGCGTGATGACCTTTGCATCCACTCTCAGCCCTGTCTGCTGACTTACTGTCGAAGAGATGGCTCTTGTTGCCCTTGTCCTCAGACACACTGTTTGATTCTCTCCTGGGCACTTATCGTCAAAGTTCGTGTCAACTCAAATCTTAGACTTCAAAAATGATATCCCAATCTAGTTGATTGATAGATTTTTTTTAAACTACTTTTGCTTTTTGTTTTTCCTTCAGTTACTGCAAAATTTTTGAGCCCTTCTCATGACCAGTGCTGCCAGAGCCCAGCTGGGGGCCAGAAGGGCTTTTCTCCTTGTGAAGGGACCATGCAGCCCACAGTTTTCCTGGGGTGTGTGGGGGTAGGGGTTGGGATGAGACACTAGGGATCTGGAACACTGACTCAGGTTGGGGCTGTGATCAAAAAGGAAGTAAGGATAGTCCTGGAATCAGGACATGGGGGTAGTGTAAAGCAATAGTGGTCTGTCAATGTGTGCCTGGTCCCACTGACCTAGTATCCCCTCTGGTACCCAGCAAATGGCAGGACAAGAAAAACTTCACTATGTCTTTCTCTGAAATATACTGAAGAACAGGCCATGCCATTCAAGAGGAAAAGATACTTGAGTGAGACACACACTAGGCCTATAATGAAAAAACATTAAAAACAAAACAAAACAAACCCCCCCCAAAAAAAAACAAAATGAAAAAACAGCCCCTGAACTTCATTATAAAGATTCGAAGGGATGCTCTGTGTAATAACAGGTTTAATGGGAATGTGTGAATCAGTCTATCTATACCTTTGGCAAAGATTACAAGCTTAAGAATTTATTATCTAATCAAAAGGTCTTGTGATTGCTAATTATCTACATTATATCCAATCAGCAACTAATAATTTGGGGCAAGTTGTCAATGCCGAGCTTTGCACCAGTTGTGGATGCACAGTGATTGGTAGCTCTGGGCTCAGGAGTGGCTGGCCTCCTTCCCAGGTCCTTGGTCCCTTTAGGTCTGTTGCCAGCAGAGCAGGCTTATGGGACTTGTGGTTCTGTAAGGTCCCTGGAGTGCAGAAGACCCCAGGTCCCTTGGGCTTCACCACCTGAGCTGAGCAGCCCAAGCAGAAAGCATTTTTTGTCGGCGTCTGGCTGCAAAGCATAGAAAAAGAGGCTCTGATGCCAGGGTTAATAGTCTTGAAAATATAATAAACATTTCTTCCCTCTTCCCAGGAAGCACACAGAGAGTAAAATGAATTATTACTACTTAGGAATAAACAGTAATACTCTCTGGATGAAGAGCCAACTGGCAGTATGAAAGAGTGGGTTTATCAGACACAGGGAAATTTCTGATTAATTGGACAATTACTTCAAATTCTGAGTGAGCCAAAGCAGTGTTAGAGAAATCTCCTGACCAAGTGGGAATGAATTCAATAGCCTGAGGCAGAGATTTTTGAGCTTACAGAAGTTGAAATACACTGGCTTTCTATGCCTGACTTTTATGGTCGTACATTTCTCAACTCTAAAAGGGCTATAACTATTTTTCAAGACTAAAGTGATTTCACATTATTTTGGTTTAAATAATATGGAAATCTGTTGATATTCTCTTGAAATAAGGATATAAGAAATAATGGATCCAAATTCTAGTGGTTGGCAGAGAGGGATAATTAATTATGTTTGATAATGGTAAATGGCTCAGGTCCATGGACCATGGCCTTGGTCAGGGAACTGGCAACACATGGAGGTCACCAGCACACCACCTCACCTGGTGGGGGCGTGTTTCTGCTCCTCCTCCTCATCCGTGTCACTGCTGATAGTGATGACACTGACTGTAGGGCTGGGGGTGTCGGGGATGACAATCGTCTGCCGCTGCCGCTCCCGGGTGGTGCTGGAGGCCATGTCACCCCACCCGCAGGTGACAGAGGCACTGCAGGCCGGGCTGCTGTGCACCATGGCACAGCGTGGGGGGGTGTTCTCCTTGACACGTTTGGATCGCTGCGGGGAACTGAGGGCCTGTGAAGATGACACTTCACAGGTGGAGACGTTTCTGAAATGACAAAAGCACAAGCACTTAAAGAAGAAGGTGGGTTAGCAACTCTTTCCTAGCAGCCAAGCTATAGAGGAATAGCAGTTTTGCCCAAGTTCCACGAGAACAATGTCTGAGGCCCAAGCCAACTGGACCCCATCCAACAGCAGAACAGTGGCCACCAGGAGAGCTTCAGCTAGTCTCTGTGCAGGGATTGCAGATGGGCCCGGTTGCCAGCTCCCAGGACACTGGTCTTGCAAGGTGGATGTCCTGAACAGAATGCTCTCATCGTCAGGATGAAGGTCCTATTCTCTAGGCTCCATCCATTAAGAGTCCTCATGCATTGTTTTGGGGACCCTAAGAGAAGTGGTGTTTGCCATATGAAGCTTTAGTTTCCTTGCTAATGGCTGACTCACCATTTAGTAAACTAAAATTCTTATTGCTTTTGTTTTCTTGCTAATGATTGTTCTACCATTTATTATATGAAAATTCTTATTTTTAAGAGTTTCTGGAAAAAAAAAAAAGTTTCTGGATCTACTGGACTTAACCTTGGTGACATTAAAATTGAACTTTCCCCTCCTCCTTCCTCTGGGAAAAGGGCACAGACATGAAAGCATGTGTGTATATAATGAGAAAACACAAAACAATTTTTCTAGGTTTTGACCCCAGGGTATCGGAGAGGCTCACCAGTCTATCAAAATTGTAATGAGAAATTGGGGAAAGTGCAGAGGAAAAGGCTTGCTTAAACAAGGGCCTTTTAATTTGGTTTGTATTGAACTGAAATTCTTTACTAAGTTAGACAATGTAGTTTCTTGTAACTTTAGGAAAAAAATACCTCACCCCTAATCAAATCTTTAGAGATCCTGGCAATATCTATACAGTGAGAAAGCAAAGCCAATGTAAAAATGCATCTTAGGCTCAGAAAAATCCTTAGAGATTTTAGCATCTTCTAGCTAAAGGGATGGCAGTAAAATGAAAATAATTCAGTAAAAGTAGGCTTATTTGATTTTCTATCTAGCTGTGTGAGATATACTGTTTATGTCTTTCATGGGGGCTGGTAATAAGTTTTACTGGTAAGAGTGTTCCACCGTTTCTATTTATCATAAACCTATGTGTTTGTTAATGCTATCGTGTTATGATTTTAAGACTGTTATTACTGCCCCATGAGTGTTCTACTTGACACCGTCAGATAAAAGCAGGCCTGGATGCAACACCTTCTGTCTGCTGTCTCAGACTTTTTTTGTTTGTTTTTTGAGGAAAGGTCTCCCTTTGTAGTTTAGGCTGGCCCTAAACTCACTATTGTAGCATAGGCTGGCTTTCCTGCCCCCAGCCTTCTGAGTACTGGTATTATAGGCATGCACTACCATGCCTGGCTGTGTCTCAGACTGTTTTTTTTTTTTTTTGAGACAGGGTCTCACCATGTAGTTGAGAACTCACTATGTAGCACAGGCTGGTCTTGAACTCACAGCGATCCTCCTGCCTCAGCCTCCCAAGTGCTGGGATTATAGGTGTGTGCCACCACACCTGGCTTCAGACTATTTTTAAAAGCTGGTTTTAGATATGGGCAAACACATAACTTGTGCAACAATTACACTTGATCTTGAACTATACCAGCAATGAACCTTCATGAGGCCAGCTGGATGGTGCTAAGACAGGGAGGAAGGGACTTGCCAAACAGGTGGGGGAGGCCAAGGGTTCTTAGGGTCCCTGCTTGGTCAAGTTGGTCTGTGAGGTGGCCAAGCTCAGTCGTGGGTCAGACCAGTATTCTGTGTGACTGCCTAAGTGGCCAAGCACAACAGCACATGAGGATCAGGACAGTGGCCTTTTTTGCTGCCAGTCTAATAATGACATGGGTGGGTTGTCAACACAAAAAGGCAGTCCAACAAAAGCATTCTGGAGGGTTGCCACTGATCTGAGATGAATTTTCTGGAGTTATCAGACAAACCCAAATAAGAAATCTTTTTTTGTGGTACTGGAGATAAACCCAGGGCTTTTGCACTTTGCTATATCCCAGCCCTTTTAAATTTTTTTCTTTTGTGGTAAGATCTTACTAAGTCACTAAATTGCTCAGGTTGGGTTTGAAATTTTGATCCTCTCTCCTCAGCCTTCCAGAGTGCTGGTATTACAGGCGTGGGTTACCATGCCTGGCCCCCTTATGAAGAGTTTTGTTAAATTTTGGAAAATGTCAAAAAACCCAACTATAATCCAGATATGGAACTTTCTCATTACTGGAGTTCCACCATGCTCCACTTTCTCAGGCAATCCCCTCCTCTACCAAGGGACTCTGCTCTGGAAACCCCTGCTCTGAGCTCTCTCTCTGTTTGCCTTTTCCGAAGTTATATTTAAATGGGCCCATAGAGCATGTAGCCTTGATTATACGATCACTGAGGTGAGATGAGAGTTACAGAGAATAGGAAAGGTTAGTGTCTTGCTGGTTAGTGTCTGGGAATAACTAAAGGTACCGCTTATATTTAAGCAAGGAGCTCAATAAATTCCATTTTTTTAAAACCAGGGATCGAACTCAGGACCTTGCACTTGCAAGGCAGGCAGCAGTACCACTGAGGTAAATCCCAACCCTGTTTCATTTCTTGACCTTAGATTTTAAAGGAAGTACTTTTATCTAGGTGTCTTGTTTTTATCTTTTTGTTTTTTTTTTTTTTTTTTTTTTTTTTTAATAGTGCTGGGGAGTAAACTATAGTATTTCTGCAAAAGTTAAGTGATTTCCAAAATGAAATTTCAGAGATGAGTTTGTTTTCTGGAAAAGATAAAATTCTTTGGCCAGACTTTAGTCAGGCTCTGAGCCTTCTCCTAGACCCATGTATGCATTTGTAAAATCTACTTTTAGTGCACAGCCTTATTCAAATCAGTTAAGCCAGGATCCCACACTTGGTATCTGGTCATCCTGGTTATTTCAGGTTCCTCATCACCCCCCCAGCCCTGGCTGCTCTCAGTAAGAATCCTACTGGGTCGGTTTAGCCAGAAGCTTCCTTACCCCTCAGTATTTGTCCATCTTCTGACTCAGATACTGATCCTTGGCTGTAAATTTCCACTTGCCATGCCATATGCAGAACAAAGCCCAATCCCCCCCCCCCCAGCCCTGCAAGATTCATTCAGCATCCCCGCCCATTTCCAGTTTTTAATAAACATCTTCCCACTGTGCTTTAACAAAAATCACTGATTCATTTTTTCCTTAACAAAAGGGACTGAAGCACTCAGGGTGTCACATATGCAGTGATCCCAGGTCCCCACCCTTAGGGTACTTGCAGGGCTGGTACAGGAAGTGCTGCCAGCTACTGCCTTAACATTCCAACCTTCTGGGATGGTCTTCCAAGGCCTTTGACCACCTACCTCACAGAGGACTGGTGCTGTTTACTCTTCCTAGAGGAGGTGGTGCTGGTTGGCTGCTGCCGCATCACATGGGCCACACCCACATTTAAGGGCTGGGCAGCGGGAAGGGTCACATGACCGGTCAATAGGGCGGGCTGCTGCATGATGGGATTGTAATGGCTGCCGTGAGCATGTGTGTTTCTGAAAGGGAAATGGAAAGACAAGGCTCCTAAGCGATTTTCTAGAGGTAGAGCTCTTTTATAAGATGAAGCTTTCTCTCAAGTAAATGATGACTGTGAGACTCATCTCACTATCTGTGGAGTCCCTAATGCAATCAGCCCCCCAAGGTAAATTTCCTAGGTGGGTTTCCGGAAGCAGTCAAGCTGAAGCTGGTTTAAAGGAGGGGAGGAACCCAGCAGATTGGTGATGAAGGACTCTCAAGGGTGAGGAATTCCAAGTGTGCAGGGTCAGTGTTCAAATTCTGGAGAGAGGGGGTAAATACTCCCCCCAACTTAAAAATTTTTGAAAGGGGGATTGCTTAACAATAATATGTGTATTTGATTTTAGAATTTATGAAGCATCATGAAAAACGGAGTTTTTCATTCTGATCTCTTAAGTAGGTAGGATCTTAGTAATATAATTTTATTAATGAGGAAATTCTAGTTAATGTGAAAAACAAACTTTGAAGATTGGGAGCCATGTTTCTGGTGTTAGGAAGCGTTACTGTTCTTTTGAATTCCCTCAGTGGCTAGCACAATGCTCAGGCATGTAGCAGCTGATCAGTTAATTACATGCTCACTGAATGGACAGTTAGAGGAACTGAAGGCTGAATAGACATGTATAGAGTTTGGTATTAAATAAAAATTAATAACAACGAAGCACATGTTGATAGAAATATAGGCAGCCTGCATCCTAAAAATGAGTTACATTTCAAAGTTCTGACAGTTTGGGTTGCATGAGGTTCAATGCCTTGTTTTCCCACAAAAATGTTGAAAGTGGTGATTAATTCAGAAATTTGCCCATAAAAGCCCATTTAACACATAATAAAATTAAAAGCCAAAGAAGAATTCACTTGAAGTTTTAAAAATAATCACATTCTATCTTTGCAAAAAGGGGAAATGAATGAATAGAAAAAAAAGCAGATGAACTTTTTATAAAGATTTTGATAGTCTTTTAGGTATTTACATGGGCTTTAGAAAAACTGATGTGGCTTCTTTATTTTGTTGTTGCTACTTCTCTATGGACACATGGCATTCTTTTTCCTTTGAAACAAGTCTGGCATTGGCACAACTCTTATTAGCCATGATTACGGATGTTCTTTGGCCCACATGTGAAATGATGAGGAAGAAGATGTTAGCTTTAGATGTCCATGATTACTACCTAAGATATGGAAAAGAGGGAGGAGGAATAAGAAAATGTGCACAAATGAGTAAATGTATGAGTACTGCTGAAATGAAATGAGCTATAAATGTTGTAAAGACAAAGGAAAAAGGGGAATATGGCACATGTGTGGTCTTTTAGGAGAAAAATGGCTGAGGAGAAAAGCAACAATTGGTCAGACAGCTTTCCAGTTGGCTGCCATTCCTAATGAGCTGGAGGAAGAAAGGTGACCTTGTCGAGCAGGAACTTCTGTGAATGGGTGAAGGGAAGATAACAGGCTTATTTACCGCTTGTCATGTTCAGGGAGTGCTATTTTGAATGTTAAATACAGGCCAAGTGCTTTGTGGTTTATATTCATCTAAACCACGCAACAATCTTGTGAGGTTAGCATCATTATCCCATTTTACTGAAGAAGAAACTGAGGCTCATGAATGTTAACTTCTGACAGGTCAAGCAGAGCCAGAATGAAGCGAGTAATACTTGGTTTGAAAGTGCTTCTAGTGACTGGGCTGGGTGTGGGGAGCAGGTGGGCCCCTGGGGACAGCTCATGTGATTGCTTTACACAGAGGATGGAAAAGCAGCAGAAGCTCCATTGGGAGGGCTTCTGTCTCTCTCTACCTGTCCACCTTTTGCTGAGAGCTCTTTGTTCATAACAGCCCTTTAGGTCAGATAAGGAGTGATGGGAGGCTCCTATTGCAGAGAGACTGTCAGAGGGCAGAGGGGAGTGAATGGACCTGGAGTTTGTGCTGCAGGAGAGACAGCAGAAGAGTCTGGGGAGGCAACTTGGGGACTGCCATTTGGTTCTACTTGGTGGAGAGGGGCACTGTGGTATTGAGGAGGGTCCTGAGGAAAAGTGACAGGTGGCCATACAAGTCAGGGAGATGTATGGGTGGCATTCTGGAAATAGCAGGGGTACAGTGTGCTGGCAGGTAGAAAATGGGGTACCTCTGGGGTCTGTGGATGTGGATCTGTAAGACAAGACCAGTAACTGAAGAGGCACACTCACTTTATGTTCCAGAGTTTGCCATTCCAAACAAACTTTAGCCTGTCAAGCCTTCTGAGGGGACTCCAGATGGACTCCACGGTGTAATATCTCCAGACATCTTGAGAATACTTTCTAGAATTATTTAGGGACTAAATAATTTTGGGGGACTCTCTTGTGCATTCTTTTACTGGTGACAAACCTTTGCTTTCTAAAAGCAGAATTTAATTCTCAGAAAACCCAGGAATCATGTGGAGCCAAGTCTGGTGAATTACATTGATTAAACGATGTAACTGAATTTTCAGTGGACAATGACAGCTGATTATATATATCAGCAAAACTGATTTTCTCTTTCCCTGGCATATTGTTTAAAAATAACCTCTCATTACAGTGTGTTCCACAACGTCAGCACACATGCCTCCCATCCTAGGCACCTCTCACCCTACCAGGTCTCCTGCTCACCTCCAGTCGGCCAGCTGCTGGGTGCCTGCCATGGTCTCAGGAATCACAGCTGCATGCTGCACGGATGTGTGCGTGGCCACTCCGGTTAGCTGCTGCCATGCTGGAGGGAGCAGGATCTGCTGGGTGCCACTTGGCCAGGCCTGCTGTAGGACAGAGGATATTTGTAGTCATCACATTTGTTAATCACAAATTGATTTGCAGAATCTAGCACTTTATCTGTGCTCTGGGTTGTGCTAGAGCCTGTGATTGGTGTTAAAGTGGAGCTCTGGTTTCTGGCCTCATCAGAAACTGAGCTAAAGGGAGACAACATTAACATATGAGAACTAAATAGAAGATAAGGAAGTACAGGAGCACAGAGTTGTATGGAAGGGATTCGTTCATGTTGAAGAATGACTTACGCATCCGCTTTCAAAGCAATGCTTCAAGTTTTCAGAATGTCATTTATTGACTTCTTCTGTCACACAGCTACACGTGAGGAAGGTGGGCCAGACAAGGTGACTCCTTGCCCTAAGGAAGCTTCCTATCTCTCCAGTGCCACTTGATAATTTACCTTTTGTTTATCAGTCAGCATTCAGAGGGGGCTGTGAATGTACCTTGGTGGTAGAGAGCTTGCCTAGCATGTACAAGGCCCTGCACCACCAAAAAGAATATCCACCCAGGTCCACTTTGTGTTATGTTCTAAATCTAAGTTTACACAATTCTGAGACCAATAATAACCTGGTGGCTGACATCTGAGAACCAGAAGTAGGAAGCAGCATTTTTGTTTTTTTTGTACCAGGGATCAGGACCTTGAGCTTGTGGCAGTGCAACAGAGCTAAATCCCCAGCCCAGGAAGTAGCATTCTTAGCTGCAACTTTCAACCTAATTGAGAATTACTTTGACTCCTCAAAACAAAAATGAGAGATCAGTAGGAAGCCAGTTTTTCCATCTTTATATACCAAGCTTGCTCTAAGAAATCTGAAATGAACTCGTGACTGACTCCTCCTTGAATGGACTTACTGTACTGGGGTGTTTGTGTATGTGTGTGTGTGTGTGTGTGTGTGTGTGTGTGTGTGTGTTTGTGACGTTTTAAACTGTTTGTATCCTCTGTCATTCTTTGCCTTTAGTCATTAAGTGACTCATATTGAATACAATTGCCTACAGTTACACACTTAAAGGATTACTGCTTAGATCAAGGCAGTCAAGGATGTAAGGGTTGGATATCTTATAGTTCTCTCTTTCCATTTGACTGGAAAAGACTATCATGGGTTACACATCTAATGCAGTGCTTCATACACTGGGCATGTGTTCAGTATGTGTGTTTTGACTCACATGTACAAACAAACACATCTGGAAATGGATAACAAGTCAAGGATTTTAAAAGAGTGATGCTAGCTGGGTGTGTAGGGGGGCACAATGCACTGTGGGAAGCTGAAGTAAGAGGATCACAAGTTTGAGCTCAACCTGGGCAACTAAATGTCTTAGCAAGACTGTCTCAAAATAAAAATATAAATGAGCTAGGAATGTAGCTTACTGCAAAGGTCATGGGTTCAATCCTGAGACACAGAGAAGTTAAACAACTTGCCCAGAAACACAGCAAACTAAACACATTTATTGTTCTCCCTAAGCCCAACTAAAATAGAGGAGTAGATTCATAAAAGTGAGGAGACTTTAACAGTTAACAAAATTCTGGAACTGGGACAACAGATACATGATTATCAAGTGAATTAGCAAATGGAAGGATAATAAACTTTTCAGTTCCCAGAACTCTGCTGTGCAGGCTGAGACCTCCTCTAGGGAGGGAGGCTGGATGATTCTAAGGCAACTGTAAAGAACTACAAGAGAAAAGAGTTACAGAAATGACACCTGAGAATTAGGGGATTTGCTATGCTGAGTTTGGGATAGCCAGACACCCAGGAAGCTTCCAGCAAGAGAGCCTAAAACAAACAACAAAAGAAACTCAGAAGAAACAAAAAACAATAGAAACCAGAGGAAAATTTCCCAAGATCTGCAATTAATATCCACACAGAGTTAAAAAAAAATATACCCATGAAACAAGATCATACAGAGGAAAAATAAATGTATCTATTATCAATATGTCCTCAGTGAACAAGAAAGATTTTTTAAAAAGTTGGGGACATTTCTCAGAAAGTAGCACAGATAGAAGATACACAGAAAATAGAGAGGAAAAGTAAGGGATTAGGAAAAAAATTTAGAAGTACCAATACCCAAATTCTAAGAACTCTACAAAGAAGAAGGAAAAAAAAAAAAAAAAAAAAAACAGAAGAAGTTAGCAAAGGAAAATTTTAAACTTCTAAGGCAAACAGGTGGCTGTGGGGGTAGCTCAGTGGTAAGCACTTCTGAGGCTCTGGGTTTGATATCCAGCCCTGAAAGAATAAAACTGCAAAAAAGGGTTCCAGGGACAATATAGGAAGAAAAGACCCACAATAAAAACAGACCACTGTAGGGCTGGAGATGTAGCTCAGTGGTTCCAGCCCCTGCCTTGCAAGCATAAGTACCTGAGTTTGATCACTGGTACCAAAAATAAAACAAAAACAAAAAATAGACCACTGTGGATAAAAAGAAAGCCTTAAAACGTTTCAGATAGAAAAATAACAGACACTGAAGTCCATATGCTCAAATATAACATGTTAAACGCACATACTTTTTTATAGCTCTGGAGGATATGGGGCTGCATAATGATACACAGAAGATGAATCCAGTTTAAAAACAAGACCCATTTACCACAGTGACATATGTGTACCTATGTTTATAGCGGCACAGTTTGTAATAGCTAAAACTTGGAAACAGCCCATCTACCTATCAGTTGGAAACTGGATAAAGAAGATGTGGTTTTTCTATAAAATGGAATACTACTCAGTCATAAAGAATGAGAAATTAGAGTCATTCATAGGAAAATGGATACATATTGAGGATATACTCTTAAGTTAAACAAATAAGTCACACATGTGTAAATACTGAATAGTTTCTCTGGTGTGAAAAACTATAACAGTACACAAGATTCTAATGGGATAATTAATAGTGTGAAATAGGAAGAAAAGGGCTAAAGGTATAGGGAAAGTGGGAAGGGTAGGGGAAAGGGAATAAGGGAAAAGAAAAAATATGAGAAAATGAAAAAATGGAAATAAAGCATTTGTAAATGGGGAGGGGAGGAGGGGGTGAAGGGAGGGCAGAGACAAGGGGAAAAAATGAGAACCAAGACCTGTCATGTGAAGGTACAGGATCCCAGTAATGAATGTAACTGTACTGTATACCTAAAATGTACCAATAAACTCAATAAAAAGAAAAAAAAAACACCCAAGACCCATTAATGACAGGAAAAATAAAAAGTTGTGTAAGAAAGGAAATGTAATCATCGTACATTATGATTAGCCAGAGTAATATAACTGTAAATACTACAAAGTTGGATGAATTAAAAAATTATATGAGTGGAATGAAAGGAAGGAAAAGTGAATTTAAGGAGTAAGACATTCTGTGTGTGTTATGATGGTGGGAGGGGAATGGGAACTAGGTTTTCATCTTTCATAATAGGAAGTCAATTATAATATTAAATGTCAATAAAAAGCAGTCTGGCTATTTATTTATTTAAGATTTTTTTCTGAGACAGGGTCTTGCTGTAATTCAGGCTGGGCTTGAGGTCACTATGTAGCCCAGGCTGGCCTCAAACTTGCAGCGATTCTCTTGCCTCAGCCTCCCAAGTGCTGGGATTACAGGCTTGTGCCACTGTGCCTGGCCTGGTATGCTATTTTGAAACAGGGAGTTAAGTAAGATTGAATGGTCAAGGTAAAATTTTTGTTTTGAGAGAGATTTTAAAAATGGGGAAGAGCAGTGAACTATGAGGTTTACAGCAATTTCTGTCAAATAAAGCTATGCTGGTGTGTCTTCACCCACCTTATTCACCCAGAACTAGGACTGTGTGACTTCTGGCTCTTCCCCAAAATGAAAATGACCATGAAACGTAAATGTTTTGAATCAATTCAGGATATGGAAGGAGCCATGGCAGCGTAACTGAAGATACTCATGAAAGAGAACTTTCAGAACTGTTACTCAAAGTGCCAAAAATAATGGGATAAGTGTGTACCAAGTGAGTGGAAATATTTTGAGTGGAGTTAATGGCAGTGTGTCTTTTAGTGTAATATACTTTTTATAAATTTAAACATGGTATTTTTCAATTGTACCACAGATATTCCTTATCAGTCTGTGGCATTAACTTTAAAAAATTATGTAGCCAGGGCTGGGGATTTAGCTCAGTGGTACTGTGCCTGCCTTGCAAGCACAAGGTCCTGAGTTCGATCCCCGGTACCAAACAACCAACCAAAAAAAATTACATAGCTGTGTTTCTTTGAAAAAGAATGAAATTTAAATTTCAAAAATAATCTCTTTAATGTCACACAGCCTGTAAGAGGCAGAGCTGATGTATGAACATGGGCAATGTAATTCCATGCTACCAGTCAATATCCTACCTCTTTTTGTGGAGATGAAACAAATGTGATGGGCCATACTTGGGACCAGACTGTGTGGCAAGTCATAAAGTGGTGTGATCAAGTGTTCCTTACTCATCAACCACACCAAACAACACAGGAGCAGACAGCAACATGGTGGGAAAGACTGGTCTGAAGTTGTGATTAGCCGAGGTTTCTGAGTGAGAGGCAATGAAATTTGGTATTTTGTACAGTGTGAAGAGTTCCAGGTAATACTGTCTTCAGGTAAACATTCAAAGGGATTCAAGTGATAAATGATTCAGTTAGCCAGAAAAATACAAAGGGAGGACGAGGCAGGAGGATCACCGTGAATTTCAAGGCCAGCCTGGGCTACAGAGTTCAAGTCCAGCCTGAACTACACAGCAAGACCCTGCCTCAAAAACAAAACAACAAAACAAAACAAAGAATATGGAAATTCCATGTAAAAATGGCATCTACAAAGGTCTGGCATTTCTGAATTTCTGATCCAGCCTTGATAGTCAAAGGGGGTTTGGGATGGGGAAATTTGATTCAGTTCTTGTCCAATTCAGTTTGCAACCAGAATTGTGGGAAGAATTAAGTTCATGAACTGAAGTACCACTGTATTTTCTTAGTCAGGAACTGTACTTCCCATCTCCTGCCTTCACCTGCTCATTCACAATTTCTGTGGGTGGCTCTAAGATGCCAGCTGTGGCTTGGGCATGGAAGGACAGAGGTGACAGCTCCTTTTAGGAGTATCAAAAAAGTTTTCTTAGGTGGGTGTTGTGGCACATGTCTATAATCCCTGCACTTTTAAGGCTGAGCCAAGAGGATCTGGAGTTTGAGGGCAGCGTGAGCCAAGTGAGGTCCCCTAATGTTTTTTTCTCTTTGTAGGCAATTCATGAAAATCAGCCTAAGTCCCTGCTGTGAGAAGACACAGACACCTTCAGGGTGTCTGCAGACATGCAGACACCTTCAGGGTGGCCCAAGAGATTCATTTCCTTGTAGGGAACATGTGCTGTTTCTGCGGGACACAGAGGAAAGGGGCAAAGACAATAACATTAATACAAAGAGGTTGATTAAAGACTCAAGCCTTCACAAATAAAGTTCTTGAAAAGATTTTAAGTACTTAGAAGAAAAGAATGATGCAAGTTTTTGGATACATTTAAAGCAAATACTTTTTAGAATGCTTCTGCCTGAAACCTAGAAATTTACGATTAGGGCCGGGATGTAGCTCAGTGGTACAGTGCCTGCCTGGCAAGATGAGGCCAGGCCCTCAGTTTGACTCCTGGTACAAAAACAAAAACAAAATAGGATTCAGCTTGAAGGTTTAATGACTGTTTTTTAACAAAATAGTCACCATGCTAGTTTTGTAATTTGACTTATTTTTGTCCTTCAGAAGGATCATTTAAAAACCTCTAGGAAAGAAGCCATCTTAACAGGCTAACACTGGCATGGATCAAGTGAAAAGCAGAGAGAAAAAGAAAAAGCAACCAACAAACCAAAAGACATAGTGTGATTCTGGATAGGGCCATAATTCTTTCTTTTTTTAATTTGTTAATTCTTTTTTTTACACATTATCTTAGACATCTCTGCATGTCAAGACACACAGGTCTACTATGTCCTTTTTAATGACTACATGGTGCTCCATTTTATGCATTCATCTATTGACTTAACAAATCCCCCAGGGACGAACGTTGAACTTGATTCCAGCAGTTCTCTGTTATGATCACTGTAGCAATTAAAATCTTTGTACACACATTTTTATTCACTTTCCCAATTACAGACTTAGGTTAAATCAACTTGGAGATTTATCATACACTAGAGATTCTTTCTTAAATAAGCAAAAGGCAGAGCTCTTTCCTATGATTACAAAACTGAAACAAACTCAGAAATGCTGAGCCTATTGGTTCCACCAAACTGCACAAGAATGTCTATTTTAGCTAAGAAGAGTTGTTGCTTGTTATTTCCTTCAGAGATGGGTTCCTGGCTTACTGGGTTAAATGTGCAAACAACAAAAGGCCCGTAATTACTCTTAAAAGCAACACGAAATCTATAGATTTCTGGCTCACAGAAGAGCAGCACTGGGGACTGGTCTGGAATTTTGCCACTCAGAGGAAGTATGAACAAACTTCTTTGCTCCTGGCTTAAGCTGCAGTTCTTTCCTTTGATAAATTTTGGTCTTTTCTGAATTCCCTACTCCCAAATTAGGCTACAAAAGGAAGTTACAAGGCCTGATGAGACAGGAAGGAAAGACCTGCTTTAAAAATAGAAGTTCTGTGTTGATAATCTTTCAAGAAGAAGGAAGCCTGTGTGCCACCAACTGCTGCTGTTAGTGGTCACTTGCACAGTATCAGTTTGGACGGAAGAGCTGCTAGTAACCAATATATTTTATAAGGCTGGTGTAACCCTGTATTCAAATTAGATAAGGGTTCTATAAGAAAGGGAAATTTATATGCCATTTCTCACAAACATAGATGTAAAGATGCTTATTATGGTATTTACGAATGGAATCCAGTATTTAAAAGTATACCGTCATACCAAACACAAACATGATTCAATGAAGTTTATCTTATAAATACAATAGTTTAGATCACACAACCTGTTAATATAAGAACAAATAACATAAGAATTTCAAAAGATGCAGAATGTTCAATACAATTCAATATTCATTAAAAACTTAAGTGTGATAGTGTCTGTACCAAATATTTATAGTAAATAAAACACCCAAGAGGAAACTGCTAGAAGAATTTACTTTAAAGTTGGGTAGAAGTAAAAAATGTCCAATATGAACACTGTTACTCAACATGCTTTTTTGCGGGGTGGTATTGGGGATCCAACTCAGGACCTTGCACTTGGGAGGCGGGAGAGATATCAGTGAGCTAAATCCCTGGCCCTTAACGTGCTTTTGAAGGACCTAGTCAGCCCAGGAATACGACTGCAACTTAAAAAAAAAAAAAGATGTAAGGACAGGAAAGCAAGAAACCAAACAATATCACCTGCAAATAAAAAAGATTACACAGCAAATCAAACGAATTCACTGAAGGTACAAGATCCCAATGATGAATATAACTGTACTGTATACCTAAAAAGTATACATTTTTCAATGAGAAAAAAAAAAAAAGAATTCACTGAAACAGGATTGTTATATAACAAATCCTACAGAACAAACTCATTTATAGTCCTATAAACCAAATACCAATAACTAGAAAATGTAATAAAACTAATAGAAACAAAGTTGTAAAATAGGAATTGTTCCAACAAGGAAAACTTACCAAATTTAACAATATAGTTATACTATATTCATGAATAAAATGATGGTATTAAAACATGTCAGTTGTTGCTAAAGTAAATATAAATCCAATAAATAATAATAAATAATAAAGTCCAATAAATAACAATCAGCATTCTTTTTGTTTTGAAACTAACATTTTAATGGGAGAGTAATTTTAAAATTCACATGGAAAAAAAATTCCTATGATGCTAGGTGTGGTGGCACATGCCTATAATCCCAGCACCCTGGGAGGCTGAGGCAGGAGGATCTCAAGTCCAAGGCCAGTGTGGACAATTTAGTAACACCCTATCTCAAATTTAAAAAAAATTCATGGGCCAGGGATTTGGCTCAGTGGTTCTGCTGCCTGCCTTGCAAGCACAAGGGCCCGAGTTCAATCCCCAGTACCAAAAAAAAAAAAAAATTCATATACAAAAAGAAGAGACTAGAATGGACAAGGAAATATTGAATACATGGGAACAGAGCTTTCTCTACCAGATACCAAGACATATATTAAAGTTATCATGATTAAGATGACAGAGCACTAGAGAAGCCAGTAGAGTGAAGGAAAGCCAAGAACAGAGCTATGCAATGTGATTACATAAAAAACCACAGGGCTGGGGATTTAGCTCAGTGGCATTGCAACTGCCTTGTAGGCACAAGGTCCTGAGTTTGATCTCTGGTCCCCCCCGAAAATCACAACCACTTCTATTTAACACGCCACCATAAATAAAATGTCTTTGGGAGCACTTTGGGAATCTGCTTTACTAAAGTGCTTCTAAACTAACTATAACTGATGTTGATGCCCACTGAAGAAAGAATGAGATGGAAGGACAGTAGGAAGGTGAAAGATAGGTGCTGGCCTTAGACCTCTTGGGTTTGGGTTCTGTGATCTCACACTGCTGTATATCTGAGTTACTGCGATTTAGTTTCGCTGTTTGTCAGATGGAGACAAACACCTTACTGTATTGTTGCAGGGATTATTAAATAAATTAACAACTGCAAAATGCCTGGTGTAATAATGATGTATCTGTTATTAGGGTTCAAGTGTCATTGAGGATTCATTACTGTTATTGCTACTGTTACCTTTAGTTCATTCATATATATACATATATATACATATACATACACACATACATATATACACACACACACACACACACATATACATACACACGCACGCAACCGCGCGCGCACACATATATTTTTTTGGTGCCGGAACCACTGAGCTAAATCCCCAGCCCTATTATTCTTTATAAAATCTCAACCATTTTCATCTCTTTGACCTTACCCTATGTTTAGAGTAGCTATACAGGGAGAGAAGGGGTGATTCTAGTTCATGGCTTCTGTGAATCTGTTTTCCAACTATAAAACAGAGGGATAATCTCCAGGGCTCCTTTTGGCTTCAGAAAATCATTTTTATTTTACAAGGAGGAAATTTGAGGCAAAGAGATGTTAACTGACTTGTCTCAGGTCATTGAGAATTACTAGCAGATTTTGGATTAAAACCTAGTTCTCAGATTAATTTGCATTACAAAGATCTGATAGTAATTTCCCTAGACTCTCCATATCTACATCTCTTCTTGAAATTGTAAGCAGATACTTAAGAAAGTAATTCACTTGGGGATCATTTAGAATATTAGATAGATTCCAATGACTCCTAACTCATTATGAGTTAGTGGAGACGGAGTTTCCTGGTGAACAACATTACCATGGGTGAGCAGTAACAGAGGAAAGGATTACCTGAGCAAGCAGACCTGGCTGGATCTGAAGAGGCTGAGCTCCTGGGGCTTGAGTGACGATGGGAACGGCATTTTCCATGCGCACTGAGTAGCCAGCATGCTTGGAGGGAGAGGCCTGTAAGCCTATTCCAGACAACCAGGAGGGAGAGAGGAGCTGGGTGAGTGACTGGAAACAGGTGGATGAAGAGATCCCAGCTGTGTAATCTGTCATCTCTCAGTACCTACCTGACAACCAGGTTTTGCTTGTCGGGTTTTGGGAAATTTCCCCTTTAGTTTTAAAATTAAAAAACACCCTCCTCCCTGCAAAAAACTTTGAATGTTTTTAAAAACTAGGAGGTCAAATTAAGAGTCTCTATGGGCAAAGTGGGACAGTTATGGTGACAAATTACAAGAAAATAGGGATCCTGACCATTGAGATGTATCTGCACATGCCATGAAAGGAAGGTTGAGTCTCTTTGGAATTGCAGTAACTAACCGTGAGGAACCAGGCATGTTCTTACACATGTGGTTTACAAAAATAAATTCTTGAGCTTGCTGTGTGCATTGTGACAAGGTACCCAGACAGCTTCAGCTTCCTGGAGTCTACAGGAGAAGAGTGCTGGGGTCATGGCCAAAGAATCATTTTGGAGTGGAGGCCCTGAGAGGTACTTTCCAGATAGATTTCTATTCTCCACATGAACTGGGACTATGTTGACAGTTAGGGAGATTGGCAACTCTCTATAGATATCGCAACAGGGTATTTAATATGAGGAAAGCCAGGGCAGACATCAGCATAACAATGGGCCCAAAGACAAAGTGCATATTTACAGGCAGCTGGCCAGGGACACAATCACTAGCAGGTGGTGAGAAGAATGACAAATTGACTTGGTGCTGAAGCACAAGTCCTACTGGTCACAGTGGGATAGGAGCCCCTGATTCAAGCTCAGTTCTCACTGAAGGAAAACATGAGGGCTTTCTTCCATGGAAGCAAGCTGCTAGGAGCTGGCAGGTGCCAGGCCCCAGAGATGGGACTGTAGGACAAAGGCAAGAAGCAGCTCTGTCAGCTTACCTTGGAAGCCAGGGGGACACACGATGAGCGCTTGCTGGAAGGGGTCAGGTCGGGCACAAATCTGGGCTGTTCCCGTCTGCAGGGGCATGCTCCGCTGGGCCACTGCAGCCATGGATGCCGCTGAGGGCTGGTAGAGTGTAGATTGGTAGTTTAGTATGGAGACCTCAGGATTGGCTAAGGAAATAGTGGCACTGGTGGAGGTGGGAGCCTAAAGGAATGATGAGGATTAAACAAAAATAAACAAACAAAAAAAAATGAGGGAGGTGGTATGTCGGGAGACATGAATCTCAAATAAATGAACTCAAAGAACAAATAAAAACTAAGAGTAAAAAGCAAAATAGAAGCAGAAGTCCAGTTGTAAGTCTCAGGAAAAGGTAGTCACTGGAAGGCACAGGAGACACATGAGCAACGTTGAGGCTTATATCCAGGTCTGCTCCTTGCATTTATGGGGCCCAAACAAGAGTCAAAGGGACACCTGTGTACTATATGTCTACATACTGAAAAGTTAGTTAGGCTAGGAAACTATTTAATAAAACATCCACCCCCCCCCCTTAGATAAATTATACCTTCCTAGGAACCTGGAAGGCCAGGTCTGAGTTGAGGGTTTTGGGAGTCCTTGGGTTCTACACTGGAACAACATGATGAGGAGTTGACTCCTGCCTTGCTTCTCCCTGCCTAGCCCGGTGCCACCAACTCAAGGGACTTCAGATGCACATGGACAGTGCTGCTAGCCCACAAGTCCAAGCTCTGCTCACATTCTCCTCCCCTTGGGCCTGGTGATGAAGTCCATACTTGGGCGACAGATCCAGGAAGAGGCCTCTGCAGATTCTGAAGATCCAAGTCCCAGGTACCCAGACCTCAGCACAGAAGCACCGGCACCAGGAAGAGTCAGAGCAGGGCTCTTCGAAGAGCCTTCTTGCTCAGGGCTGTGCTCACGGTACCCTTAGATGCTGCTGAGCCAGCTTCTGTAGAGATGTGAACTAGAGACCCAGCACTACAGGGCTCACAGAAACTGGGCTCTCTTGTTTGAGTTCCTGGCACTGAGGCTGACATTTGGTTACTAGGATGGAAGGCAGAGGGGCTGGAGATCAAGAGGATTTCAGTGGAGGTGGGTTTGACAAGTGCAAGCCATCACAACGATGTCCTCTCTCCTTTCTCCTTCAGAAAGAGACATCTTTTGAAATAGAATTTCAACAGGAAGCAAGGCACCAGAAGGAAAACCATTCTAAACTGGGAATTCTCCAGTTTCTCCCTTCTTAACTTTCCTCACACCGATCCTTCAGCAAGTTGAGGGGAGGCTAACAGTAGCACACTGTCTACCAGAGTTTTGCCTGTAGAAGTTACAAAGACTAAGGAATGCAGAGGAGAAGAGGCACATGGCCAACCTGGACACACACACAGACAATGCTGAGTAGAGTATATGTATGTGTTAGGGTTGACAGCAAGCGCCATATGCTTTACATATGCTTTTTATACTCAGAAGGATTTTGTGCTGAATTTTAGAGGAAAGCAATTTGTTTGAAAACAATCACTACATTGTGGCATGTGGATTAGGATTGAAGCTAAGTATTTGAAAATGTGTGTCCAGGCACAACAGCCGGGTATGGGTACACACAGGTAGGAACCGAGACTGTTTTGTCACTGATGTCTTCCCATGCTGCCCTCTCTTCTGGAGGCCTCCCAACACACCCCCATCTACTCAGATACTACATGTTGTGCCTTGCTCCAGCCCCCAAAGGTCTCTCTGCTTAGGGCCCTGGCACCAATGTCCTCTAGGTTCCCCAGCTCATGCTGAGCTGTCCCTCTCTATGGTCAGTCACTGTTCCTGCTGCTCCAGGTGCCCCAATTCTTTTCAGTTATTCCTTCCTGGGGCTGGGGTCCCATAAGGCCCTGAATAGTGATGCCCTGGCCTCTGCTTCTCTTCCAGCTCTTCTTGGGCACAGTGGCCAGATATTCTTTCTGGAAGTGCTCTGTGCATGTCAGGCCTACTCACAAACCTCCTGGGACTGTGAGTGAGCATGGGCTATGCGCCTTAGCCTGGGTCTTCTTGTTTTCCTTCCCTTCTCAACATCTCTTTCTCTACTCTCCAGGCTCTCGGCACATGATAGATTAATCTGTTCATTGTTTTCCAAGCCTATTGTGAACACAGGTCTTGCATCTCACACAAATCCTTTGGCCCACAGAGTTCTATGCAAGCCCTGTGCTTGAGGTCCTTGGCCTGCATCTCTGTGCTCCACAGTGGACTGTTCCCCCACCCACCCTGTCAATAGCAAGTTGCTCCTGTCTAGCTCTCACACAGTACAGTGTAGCCCCTGGGCTCACTTCCACTGCAGCCTGAAGTGATATTCACCCCCGTCCCGCCTCCCTTCATGCACCCAGTCTGCACTAGTATTTATCTGGGTTTGCTTATGGCTCTTCTCACCATGAAGACCATGAGCTCATTGAGAAGCTGAATCCTCAGCTCTTGTAGATTCAAGGACGAATCAAGGTGTGTCCTGACCTGGGCCCTCCCTGTCCACAGTGTGACTACTAGCATGCAGGCAAGTTCCCTCCAGTTTCTAATCTAAGGCTTGGCTGAAGAAGTACATGAGTAGGTGAAAGTTTTCTACCTCTCTGTATCCTCTGTGGTACTGGGAAAGGTAACTAGTTTGTTACCTGTTTAAGAGGAGCAGAGGGATAACTAAGAGCTCTGTGGCTAACAAATGGAGATAATAAGAAAAAAGTTAAGTTTATTGGCAAAGTGGCCTTTAAAAAAATGGGATGAATAATTCTTGCAAACAGAATCATGGTTGTAATAGATGTTTAAATGGTTTGACACTCATAAAGGTCTGAGGTTGGCCTATAAATACAAGTTAAAATTCATTAGAATAACTGGTGTGACCAGGTGTGGTAAGGGGCACCTGATTGGGAGGTTGAGGCAGGAAGATTGCCAAGGCCAGCTTGGACTACATAGTGACAGCCTGTCTGAAAAAAAAAGAACACTAGGTTAGGGAAGTGGCTGATCCACTGGATTACACTAAGAATACCCAACAGAGGGCTCCTCATTCAATATGTTTCTATACGGGTAACAGTTTTAGAAAGTAGGGGAAATCAGCTTCCTGCAGATAGAAGGGGCTATATATCATTGACCCAGCTTCTTTAAGACATAAAGAATTACAGATTAGTGGCCACTTGGGAAAAGATTCTTTGGTGAGTCTACTGTATAGATGTTAAGGGGAGCAAGGAAATGTTCATGTAGTTTAATGTCCTACTTCTAACAGGAAACCATGAGTGTATTTTATTGCTTCTGAATATTTAAGTGTGCAGAAAAAGTCCAAGGAGCTCATATAGAGAGCAAGCTACTAGAGTGAACAGGAAATCTTGTTGGATTTTAGGGAGCAGAGGCCACTGAAGAAAGGCATTGAGGAGCTCATGGAACTTGTGTGGTGCCGTGTGCATGTGTTTTAGGAGCACAGACACATCAGAGTGCTGGGTTCAAAGCCCAAGCCCATCTTGCATGAATTAAAAAAACAGCCATGGGTAAGAGGTTTAATTGCTCTGTGCTCGTTTTCTATTCTAAAATGGAAATGATAACAATCCTAGTACCTATCTTATATACACTGTTGCTGGGAGGATTAAGAAGTATGACACACTTAGTAGAGTCTGGGACACAGTAAGTTTTCACTATTAGTAATATTGCTACTTCATGACATTGTCAGAGAAAAGTTGGCCTTAGTGCTTAAGGCTCAGTATACCGAGTAACTTTTCCCTGATATATTCAAAATGAGGTACAGTAGTATCCAGTGCCAGAGAATGGACAGCATATTCTCAAACTCCTTGCTTTTGTAGGATGGCTTTTCCCTTTACCCAGTACTCTGGCCCAAATGCTTTACAAAGCTTCCAGTCTCTTCCAGATTTGGAAGATCTCAGTGCTTTGGAGAAGAGGGGTGTTCCATTAGTGAGATGAGTAGCCCTTTTGGTCTTCAGGACACAGTATTTGGAGTGGATACGCTGGATGCCATCTCACAGGTAATATGGAGGTAGCCTTCCTGGCATGGTCAGGAGCCCAGGATGTGGTTCTGCAGCACAGTACAGACAGCCATTTCGAGGATGATCTGGGGGGACTCGCCTGACCTGAGGCAAGTTTCTGAGGCGGACTCTGCCCCACACTCCTATCCTTTGGTATTGGATGAGGTGGACAGATGGCAGATGGAAATATGCAATCTGGGGTTGGCAGGTTAAGATCAAGAGTCTCACGAGGACTGATGGAAGAAGCTCAGGAGGTAATGAACAAAACCATGGTGGTAGCTGTCAGAAGTTTACATCTTGCTACAGACCCCCTAGCCTTAGGTCTGGGCTAGGGATGGGATGGAAATGTTCCTTTCTTTGGCCCTAACCATGAAGGGAAAGCTTCAACAATACTAATGGTCCCCATGGGACAGCAGATTCCAGGTAGCTGGTAGTGTCTGGGCAGAAGGAAGTAAAGCTGGGCCTTAGCACCCATCACACAAAAGAACCCTCCAGCCTTGCCTCAAATCCCTAGAAAATAGGACAGGACAGGCAGGAACAGTGAATGAAAGGCAGAGGCCAGTGATTTCTCATTGATGGTAGGGACCTGACAACAGAGTGGAGAGCCTGGTGAAGGTTTTCATGCTTCAAGTATGGCACATACACATTCCTCTCCTCACTGCAGTGAGTGTGTGTGTGTTCATGTGCACTCATGCGTAAGTATACACACAAGCATTCTTTTCATAGATTGATATCAAGAGAAATCTCGGGATACTTCTTTAGGGGAACTGTGAGATTGGAAGATGAAAGTAAACAAAGAATCTTAGACTCTAGAGGTAGTCGGAGTTAGAGCTTAGAGATTATCATTCAGTAAGTATTTTCCCATGTTTTAAGCATTATATTGCATTGCTGAATTCTAATTTTCTGCAAAAGTTTGAAAATCTGTGGGGGAAAAAACTTTTAGTTTTCTGGCCCCTTTAGTTCTAACTGCTAGGATCCTGCCAATGGCCCAATAAGCTGGTCTCCCCATGGCTTGGAGAAAGGACAGATTTTATTTGTCCTGGAAGGAGATTACATGGACCAAGGGTGGTGGGATGAGGGGAGGTGCATGAGTCCTTTTCAGTTCTGGAATTCCTTACTGGGCAGAGGTCAGGCACAAAAGCATCATGGCATCTCCTCTTCCCAGCGCCACATCAGGCAGAGGAGAGCAGGAAGTGGTTCTGTTGCAGAAAGAAGGCCCTTTGTAAGTCCTTTTCTGGGACCTCTGAGTGGAGCCAGTAGTCATACAAAGAACACCGGAGTTGGTCAAAGGGCATAACCATGGAAGTTAAGTGCTCCCTAAGAGGGACTTTGCCTCCTGACTGGGCTAGGAGGGGAATCCAAGTCCTGCTGCCCACACAATCAGCCCCACTGCCTGCCTGTCTGCCTGTCTGCTCCCTATTTACCTGGTTGTGGACAGTAGTCAGCTGGTTGTTAAAGGTCATGGTCAGGTTGGTAGATGTACTGGGGGCCACGTGTGTGATGAAAGGGGTTTTGCTCTGGTTCACTGTGTCGTACATATTCACTCGCCGCTTGCAGATCTCCATGTTTTGGAAACATGATTTGACACTGTTTATGTAAAAGGGAGAGGCAGAGAGACACAGGGAAAAGAGGGTAAGGTAGGAAAAAGAGAAGAACATGATTAATCCAATAAATATAACCAGTGATACTTAGCTTTACGTGTAAATGTGGGATTCTTACACAAAATCTGTACATCTGTGACCATCCCATTGTCCCCACAGTGGTGGACAAAGGTTCTGTGGATGACACCACCAGACTGTTCTCACTGCACTCCCCGCTATCCATTGCCCACACCCCTGCAGCCTTGCTGCAAAGTCTCAAATCTCAGTGTAGTTTCTGGCCCATAAACATGGATAAGCTCTCGACTGGTACACTGAACAGCAGCATAGACAGACCTACCTCTGCCTTCCCCAAAGACAGCTGTGTGCACTTTGCAGGTACCTGGGGACACCAGCATCACTTAGGGGATGGCCAAGGAACTCTGCCTCAGCAGCAGCACCATGGGTACTCTTGCTCCTCGCTGGAGCTGGGCATACAGTGAAAACATGGATGACACCAAAAACTAAGAACAGAGCTAATATTTATTGTGTTTGCAATATCTCACTCAGCTCTATAACTCCACTAGATGGAAATAGAATGACTGTTCCTATTTTGTGGGTAATGCTGAAGTATAGGAAGCTCCGAGGTAATTACTGTATTAGCAATCTTCACACATGCACATACACACTCCCCCTTCATCCTTGCTTTTTCTAATTCTTGCTCAGTTACATGAAGTAAAATTCTTTCTTTTTCTTCTCCCACTCAAAACAAAACCCTAACTAAATATAAAAGTGGTACAGAAGCTGGGCATGGTGGCACACACCTGTACTTCCAGCACTTGGGAGGCTGAGGCAGGAGGATCTGTCGTGAGTTCAAGGCCCGCCTGAACTACATAGTGAGACCTTGTCTCACTCCCTACCCCAGTTCCTGAGCTCTGTGATAAGTGTTCTCCAGAGTCTATACATTGCTCCTCATTCACTTCTGTCTTCAGTAAAGTCACCGTTCCTCAAATGCGAATATTCAAGCTAGTAATCTTTAACTTTATAAGTTAAGTGTATTTTAATTAGAAAGAATGTAATGGCCAGGGATTTGGCACAATGGTTCTGCCACAGTTCGATCCCCGGTACCAAAAGAGGGAAAAAAAAAAAAAAAAAAAAAAAAAAGAAGAAGAAGAAGAAGAAGAAAGTATGTAATTAACTAAAGGTAATATTTCTCTATGACTTTAAGATTACAGCCTGGGATTTAGCTCAGTGGTTCCACTGCCTGCTTCACAAGCACAAGGACCCAAGTTCGATTCCCAGTACAAAAAATAAAATAAAATAAAAAGATTACAAATGTCTACTATGTACACTATATTTTGGGTTAAGCAGATATTTGTAGGTTAGACCTAAACATCCTTTTCATGGAAAGGGTGTTACAAAGTTTCAAAAAACTTAGAACTTAGGGAATCCTACTTCTAAATTAATGACTTCTTATGCTGGTCACACAATACATGCTAAATAAACATTTATGGAGCCTGCAGAGAAGAGAGGACACACTCATGAATAATAGCAGTGAAGTATTTCGCTAACAATGCTGCCAGTGCCAGTAGTCTGAAGCTTCTACCGAGTATCGAGTCCATCGTGAGTGCCTTCATGTGGATGGAGGCTGCAGGCATAAAACAATGCACTGTAATTTTTGGAATGTATATAAAGCAGTCAGGGCAGGGATAAGGAGAAAAAATGAGAACCAAGACCTGTCATGTAAAGATACAAGATCCTAATGATGAATGTAACCGTACTGTATGCCTAACATGTACCAATAAACTTAAAAAATAACAACAACAACAACAATGCACTGTATGTGATTTTTGGAATGTATATAAAGCAGTCAGTGGTTTTGTGACAGTTCAATGCAAAGCTTTCAGAGTCAAGAGGTTTCTTGCTAAAATGGTTTGAGCTTTGATTATGAGGCTGAGGCAAGCACTTTTACTTTGGGTTAGTTTATGAGAAGACTGTTTTAAATTTTTTTTTTTTTTAATTTTTTGAGACAGGGTCTTGCTATGCATCCCAGGCTGGCCTCAAAGTCCTGGTGATCCTTCTGCCTCAGCTCCCAACTGCTGGGATTACAGGTCTATACCAGCACACCTGGCCAGAAGACTGATTCTTAATTCATGAGCTAAAATCCTGGTATGAAAGTGGGTCTCTTTCACCTGGGTAGTTGGGGCTTGGCCCCAAGGGTGGAGTCTGCAGAAGGGTGGCCTGGAGGCCCACTGTCTTCACACCAAGTTCTGGGACTGAGTGTTAGGTAAGTGCTGGTGTGCTCAGAGACCCACCTTTCCTTCTTAGCCCATTTTCTGGATTCTAAATTGTCAGTACCATCTTCACTGGCTCCTGGCATACTTTAAACAGGATGGATTTCATAACCCAGGTTTGGAAGGGACTGCTCCAGATTGCCTCTTTATTGGACCTGGTCATTTCAAGTGTGGGTCTGAATTAAGGAGGCACTGCCCGGCTTTTGCAATATGATTTGACTTGCTCCATTGACTGTGAAGGAACAGAACTGAAACAGAGAAAACACCCAGTGATTGGTGCTACCCATTCCCTTCTCGAAGGCTGGGTAAGCTTGGGTATTGCCCAGAGACTCTGCCCAACCTGATTCTGGCCATGGTAGGGCCAGCAGTGGTCCATAGACCTCTCTGATCTCCAGGCTCTTCTTACAGTATTCCTTTGCTTCTACATCTAAGAGAACATGTTGCTCTCTTATTAAGAATATGTTATTCTTTCATGTCCCAAGTACCTCAGGTAGAAGTGGTACTTCCACCCACCAAAAACCTCTCCGTTCACTCACCGAGGCAGGCCTTTGCCAATGGCTCTGTCTTCCTCTCTAAGCCATTCCCTGCCCACCCAAGAAGATTTCAGAGACTGCGCTGATGACTCATTAAACATGTTGGCTCCTCACTGACCTCTCTTCCTAGTGACCTTGCCCCCAGTCCCTCTACCTGTTCAGATATCAAACCACTACACTTCTCATAACCAGAAGCTCAGCCACATTCTCCACCCACCTGGCTCATTTAACTGTTCCTACATTAATTACCCCAGAAGTTGACCCCGGCACTTATTTCACTTGGACCCCTCCCAGCTTCACTTCCTTTCTCTGCAGTGATGGCTCCCAATTTGGATTACAGCCACTCTAATGCTAGCAAAATTGACTTCCTAGTCTGTTTGTCTTTTTCTCTTAACAGCTTGGCAAAAATTCTACCTGGACAAACCGAGCTGTCTGTTTTCTTTCTGCCTTCACCTGAGGAGGTCAGTTACAATATTAATTGTTCATGTTCAACCTTAGCACTCAACAGTCCAACCAAATTTCTCTGGTCAGTCTTCTCTGTCACTTTCTGTCCCAGCTATGTAAATATTCTACCTTTTGGAGACAGGGTATCACTATGTAGTGAGACTGACCTGGAACTCACTATGTAGCCAGGCTGGTCTTGAACTCACGGCGATCCTCCTGGCTCAGCCTCCTGAGCGCTGAGATTACAGACTGCACCACCACGCCCGGCTAAATATTCTCCCTTTTTAAACAAGACACCTTCTCAACTGAAGCTCATTGCCTACTTTGGAGAGACAGAAGCTGTCTTGACAGGAATCCCCTCAACTTTTGCCCACTAAACCAGCTCACCAGCTGATACCTTCATTTCTTGATCTGCCAATCTTTGGTGACATTTGCCTATCTCTCCTCCTATGTTCTAATCCAGCCCCTTCCACTCTCTCAGAAAATCAGCCCTGAGAATCCTTTTCCTTCATTCTCATTTGCTAACAGATTCTTCCCATCAGTATCTGAAATTAAGTCTCCTTGTTCTTCAAAAAAATTTCCTTAATCCCTCCCCCAGTCACCTTCTATTTCTCTTTCATAGCTTCTCTTCTTAAAAGATTGTTCTCTATTTCAGTGCCTCTCACTTGATCTTTCAACCTGCTAAATGGGTTTGTGCTTCTGCCACTGCACCAAAACAGCTGTTACTAAGTTACCACCAACCTCCAAGTTGTGAGATCTGGTGAACATCTTTGTGGACTATTTGCGCAGCAGCAGGTAGATCTATGCTTAACACACAGCTAGCCAGCCCTTTTCCTGCTTACCAGTCCTTTAATGACCTTTCATTGCTCTTTGGACAGAGACCCACATTCTCCTCATGTAGGTTTGCCCTTGTCTTATTCCTGTGGCCTTGGGACTCTTGCCCACGTCCCTCAAGTCTGGTGTATGGTCCTGCCCAAGACCGGGTACACCCAGAACCTGCCTATTCATACTCATCCTCTTCCTCACCCTTCAGGGCTCAGTTCCTTAGGGTCTTCCTTGGCCTGCCAAGCGAGGCTGCTTGTTATTTGCCCTCAGAGTACCCTATGCCTTACACTTTTGCTCTCCTACAGACCATAAGATCAGTGGACAGGGGCCCTTCTCCATGTTCCTGGCACAGCACACAGCATGCAAGTAAGTGATCAAACCCAATTAGGAACTGACTGGGTCTCCCTTAGGATGTTCTAAGAGTAACCTTTGGTGCTGAAACTAGTTCTGTACTAAGACATTGCTGTTTGGGGGACTCCTTTTCATGTACAGAAACCAATCTGGTCATCCAGCCTCATGCTCTCCCATGCTCTTCTTCCTCTCCTTTTTGGTATACAGCAAACTGCAGTCCAGGACCCCAACCCAGCCCTCATGCGATTTTACAACTGTGTTACTGGAATGCATTCATTTATGTATTGCCTCTCTGGTTGCCTTTGGCTGTAAGTGCTAAGTAGCTACAACAGAAACCAGGTAGGCAAAAAGCCTAATACATTTACTATCTAGGCCTTTAAAGAAAAAGTCTGTCTGCTGGCATGAAAGACTGAGCAGGACACCTACTGTGTACTGTGGGGAAAATCGAGCAAGTGTGTCATGGTGACAAAAGGGTGATTCAGGGTTTCAATCGGAGTGATTCTCTTATCAGCATCTATGGTCAGCATCTTCTTCAACAGGTCGATGAACTCCCGCCGGTCTGCCTTCTCCACCAGCATGTCACTTCCTTCCAAATCTGTTGTCATGTTTACCTGGAAGCAAACAAGGACAGGTGACAAGGGCCCCAGCATGCCTTGTCTTTCCCGGCTCCCTTATCCTCAGCCCTGCATCTCTTCCTAATCTCTGAAGCCGCCACATCTCCCTGGAAGGCTGTGTTCTGCCCCTGTGGAGGGCACCACCCATGTGCTGCTGGTGCCCACAGGTTGTGCAGAGGAGGCTGGACACCAGGAAGGGGCAGGGGCAGGGGAGAGAGCAGCTGTGGTTGGCACAGGCTAAAAACTGCTCCTGCCTTCATCAGCCAAGCTCACATGCACCTCTCTTCACGTTTCTTTAAAAAACAACCACAAGATGAAAAGAGTTCTGGAGACTGGCTGCATAACAATAAGCATGTACTTAATTCTACTGTACATATTAAAAAGGCGAGGATAGTAAATTTTGTGGGATTTGTGTTTTATCACAATTAAAAAAAAATCACAATGAGGCAGTAGAGAAAAGATGCATAGACCATTTGTATTGTCTCTGAGGGAAATGGAGGGGCCTGAGTGCCCTCCTTGCTCCTGGTTCCCTGAGAGAGGCCAGAATTACTGCAGTCCCTGCATTTACTGTAGTCACCTCTGGTCAAGGCAGACAGGGTATCTGAACATGAGATTTTTAAGAGCAAGGCTATAGGAGAATGGCCTTTAAAAGGATTTTTTGGTGGTGCTTTCTATTTTTTCTAAGAAATGCCATGGAAAGCAATTTCAGTTTTCTCAGACAATCTAAGCTACTAATCAACTGACAAGTGTGCTTTAGTCAGAATCAGGATTTTTGGTTACACTCATCTACAGTAAGAGGTGTGCTAAGTGTTTATTAGGCTAGAGCTTTATTTCTCATTACTTTAAAGAAAAACACACTTTGGGTTGCCCTGATTTTAGACTACTCTTTACACTAAAAGTAGCTGAAACTCTAGAATTTTCTCTGGGGCACAAAAGTGAGAGTCTGTGTTCTCTGCTAGAGAGTAAGAAAGAGCGAATGTGGTGGGTTGAAATGCGCCCCTCCCCCCAAAGATATTTTCATGTTCTGGTAGCTAAGAATATGACCTACTTGGAAATTGGGTCTTTGCAGATAAAATAAATTGAGGTCATGCGGGATTAGGGTGGGCCCCAGATCCAATGACTAATGCCTTTTTAAGAAAGGAGATCTGGACACTGAAACAGAGATGACACAGGGACCAAGGCCATGTAAAAGAGGAATGCTGAGGACAGCCAGGAGTCACAAGCAGAGGCCAGTGACAGGACGGTCTTCCTAGGCCTGCAGATGCCTTTGTTATACACTTCCAACATCCAGAACTTACTGTCTCAAGCCATTCAGTTTGCTGTACTCTGCTATATCCCTAGGAACTGAAATATACTAATGGGCTAGAATTCCTCCCATGAAAACATCAGCAAAACTGTCCAGTACTACTTTATAAATGGGAACCAATAAAACAAAACTAGTTTTAAGGAGCTGGGGTAAGGTTTTTTTGATGTCTCACAATTCATTTTTACTGAGGCTAGCATGTAAGTGTGCAAGGTCCACGCTGAAGGCTGCAGTTGGGTAATGGGATTTCTATACGCTCCTGGCCATCATGCTTGCACAATCTTGCTGAATTTGGGTTTGGAAGGGCCTACACTATACGCTCACTCCTGGTGCTTACCTGGGCCATATCATCTAAACAGTTGAAAATGTACTTTCTTGCTTCTTTTGACTTAATCCCAGTCTCTGCTTCATGGTCATCTGGTGTCTACCGAGAGAGGCAAAAGCTGATTGGTAATGTGACTTAGCTCTAGGTCACTGACTCCAATCTGAGAGACCCCGTTGCTCATGGAGGTTTTCTTTCCCACCTTATAGACTTTGATTCTTCTTGAAGTGACCTACACACTGACTCCCCTCTCTATTCATCTACACTAACTTGTCCTGTTCCCTTCCCATGAGCACCTACATTCACGCCCTGCTCAGAATCACTTACAGAGGATTTTAAAATGATTAAGATATGCCACGTCCCTGATCACCCTGAAGCCTTCCCTGAATGTAGGGTAAGAGTTCCTTATGGAAAGAAGTAGGAGTTTCAAAGTTTTATTTAGTGAGCCTTTCTAAACACCCTTGCTTCTGTCCCAGGGGAGCCAAGGCACCAGCACCAATGCTCTTCCCTGGCCCCTGGCCCCAGGTGGTGGCGAATACACACACCCACTGGCGCCCATGTCCTTTCCTCCTCCTTCTCGGAAGAAGGCACTTGGTAGGGTGGGCCAGGGTCCTGTTTGTCCCCTGGACTGTAAGCTCCTCAAGGGTGTGAGGTGTGCTCATATCCTTCCCCACACATATCAGCCATCCAGGTTCATAGGCTTCCACACAGGGACTATGGCAGTTTTAACCTAGGACTTGAGCTTCTCAGAAAGCTGTGGGCCACGAACAAAGATGCCTTTGAACATTCAAATTCAGCCACACATTAACTGAACTCCCACACCTACTTTTTGTTGACCTAATCAAACTGAGACCCAGGATCAGCTGCTGAAGTTGAACACTCCCAGTAATGGAACTGTGCCCCTCTTCCCTGAGTGCTGGGCCGTTGGTGAGGGAGGGAAGGTGCTCGCCTACCTTCAGCCTCCACAAAGGATATGGTGAGTCTGTGTCACGGTTGAAAAACCTGGTTGTCTTTGTCCCTGCACTTAATAAATATTCAGCTGGCAAACCCTGTGTTTGTGAAATATACCGGATCTGCAAGAAAAGACAAGGAGGAGGTCAGGGCTTCTCCTGTCACTGTACATATGGCATTCTTATGGCTCTAGTAGCTTTGAGAAAAATGGAAACACTTTTATGGGGAAAGAAAGAAGTAAAAAAGAAAAAGGAAGAAGACGCAGCAATGCAAAGTTCAGGGAAGCAAGGTTGAGGGAACAATGACAGCCCATAATGGCATACATAGGCTGGTTTCTAAATGAATTACTAATCCAGGATATTTTCCAGAGAGAACAAGGTCTTGTTGCAAATCTATGCATCATCTGGACCCACCTGATCATATTCTGAAGCTCCTGGATATAACGGCCAGCCCAGGAACAGCTCTGCAATGACACAGCCCAGGGACCACATATCAATTGCCTCACAAAATGGTAAACCCAGGATGATCTCGGGAGCCCTGAAGAAGAAGAGTGGAAGGAACCATTAGCAGTGTGACAGTGCAGGCAAGTGCTTTTGTGCAAGTTGTCTTTCCAACTTGGGTACCGTTATATCTCTGCACAGCACTGTGGGTTGGACGTCCCATGTGCCCCAGAGGCCCATGTGGTAACGGCCTATGTTCTCAGAGAATGACCTCCACCCTTTGGCTTGGCCTTCCACAAGAGAAGGCTGTGGTTAGTTGGCAGTGGGATGCAAGGCAGGTGGGTGCTGTGGACCAAACCTACAGAGAGCCACATCTACTGACTTTACTGGCATCACCCTCCAGCTAGATGAGCTGACAAGCATGTTAGGGATACTGTAGGGTAGCTTTTGCAGTGGAAGATCTGGAAATCTTTAGAGAATACCTGGTTTTTACAAAGGAATTCTGAAACACAAATATTCTACTTTCAGAAATATGTAAAACAAGACGCCCCCAACCAAAATAATGGGATCAAATTCAAGATTCATTTATGCCAATGATCCTCTTCTTAAGAATTTATATCACACTTTCCCAAGGAAATACCATTTTCATTAGCTTAAAAAGTTAATCTTTATAAAGGTCCTCTAATGTTATAATTTATTCTTGTTCACTTTATCAATTATTGATAAATAAATAAACCTTGTTTGTGAATAAATCCTCTGGGAATCTATCAGAATTCCATTACAAATTCTACAAACAATCCAATCCTGATCGCAGGACTAATGTTCACTTGACAGACGAGGTGACACGTTGGATATTCCAAAGGAAAATCCCTAAACTCAGAGAAAAGGGCACATGTAGTTGGTAACAACAATGGAGACCACAGAGCCCATTCCCTTTGCTGAGGACTTATATGACTAAATGTGAGTACATTTTGGAGAAAACCAGGCTCAAAGTTTGAGATATGAACACTTTTATTTTGAAACAGTGGCTTGAGGCACTATGCTGATAATGACCTGCATTAACCCAATTTTTGCTTTCTCTGTTCAATTTCCCACTTTATATGACAACACTGTACCCAGAGGCCTCCTTCACCTGGCTCGCCCTGCACCTGGCTGGCAGGGTGACATGAGAGAGGCCTGGCTCTTCCAGCTGAATTATCTTTGCTCAAATGCAGCCTCCACCTCCCTACTTTGTCTACTCTCAATGCTAATCTCATCTCTATAAATAGTATTTAAAAAAACCAAAAACAAAATCCCCAAACATCTTGTTCCAAAGTTCTGATTTTTCAGATATACAACAAAGGTGGGCACAGTGCTTCTTGGGGAGCCACAGTGGCTGCCTGGATGCTGACAGTCCCTCAAGGCATGCTCAGTGAAGGCCTGGTCCCCAGGGGATGCTGTCCAGAGGCAGTGGATCTTCTGGGAGCACAAGGGAAGTGTCATTGTGCCATGCCTTTGCAGATAACTGTGGGACCTCAGCCCATCTCTTTCTTTTTTGCTTCCTGGCTTATAATGGAAGTGTTTTTGCATGGCCTTTTGTTCCCACCATTATATGCTTGCCCAAAATAATGGGGCAAATGGACCAGGGACCAGAACTTCCAGAAATATCAGCCAAAATAACCCTTTCTGGCCAGCAGTTTATGATTTCAGGTATTTTACTACAGTGATGGGAAGCTGCCTAATACGGAAGAGTCACTTCTGGGGATGATAGCAAGGCACCTCAGTGCTCTTTACAGGGCCCTTCGTCATCCCTTATCTCTCTGCTGGGGACAGCTGTCAGAGCTCTCCTGGGCCACACATTCTCTGGGGCCTTTGTCTTCTTCAATGAAGGTGTGAGTGAACCATGGAAGCTGCTTTTACCTCTGGTGTCCCTGCTGCACCCTCTGGGTCCTGTGGCCTTGATCTCATCACCTGCCTGGGTCACTTGTGCCCCTGTGGCTCTCACCCCAGGGCTCCCAAATTCCTTCATCTTAGCATATAAACAATGAGATTAGCACCAGATCACCTCCAGTGGTCTCTAGGGATGGACTCAGTTTATTTAAAAAAAAAAAAAACACATCCCCTAGGAAAGGAAGGATGTGTGACAAGGACATTACAGAGTATATAATGGTGTCAGAATATGCTTTCCTCCCACCTTCCCCTGGTACAGTGCGAGTCAGCCTGTTCTCTGGGTGAGGAGTACTAGGCCTGGCTGTCTCTGTAGGCTGCGCTGCAGCTCTGAAGTTGGGTTGTGTGACGTTTGAGCTTCCAGGCCAGCCTTAGGAACAGGCAGCTGTAGTTCCTTGGGACCTGCCTTCCTATCCAGATAACCAATCAAATCTCACAAACCCTAAGCAGGCGGTTTCTAACCTATGGACACCTCACTTTTCAGTTTCTGTTTCCTGATGTGGTGCAGAGCAAAACCCAACAACTGAGACTATTGCATGGGCATTTTGGTGATGTTCTTTGGCAAGAAACATTAGACCATGTTTCAACAACTGACACTGCACACAAAAGCTGCTCTTAGTGTACCAGTAAAATAAAATTCATTGTGCTGTGCAATGTACACACAGCAGAGTATTTTTCTTGTTCTGACCATAAGGGCAAATATTCAAATGCACAAGAAACAGAAGCACAATCCTGTTCACAAAGGGCCTACCAAGCTGAGAAAGTGACACTAAACCATGGAACAATTATAATTAAACACAAAATGTGCACAATACAAACATACAGACCGGAAGAAAGTAGTTAACACAAGCACACAGCACACTCTAGCAGCTCCCATTTTAGAAAACAAAGCAGAATACAAGAATAAATAAAAACAAAAAACCAAAATTCCATCCATCCCTCCGTCTCTGCTGCCTCAGGCTGCTGGCTGATTCCTCCTCTTCACCATGACTATCTTCTCCACATCTTCAAACACAGCTCACATGCTGAGCCATCTACTGCTGCACTCAGCAAGATCAGTGTGGCTTGTGCTGGTCACACCCATGGGCCACCTCCTGAGCTCTATGACCCACACACCTGCACACCCTCCCATTCTGCCATGCTCAGCCCTGGCTTTCCTGTCTGTCCTCCTACCTCTTTGCTGTAGCCATCAGTCTCTCTCCTGGCTTGGGCTCCTCCATCCAAGTGCCACATGCTGCCAAAGTCCTGGCCTCCTGCTCTTCTCTTTCCATCCTCGCCTTAGGTAACTGTCACAGGTTAAGCTGCCCCCCGCAAGAAGATGTGCTGAAGTCCTAATTCTGGGACCTCAGAATGTAACCTCATACTGGGAATGAGACTGGTGCAGGTGTAATTAGTTGATATGAGGCCATCCTTGAGTAGGAAGGCCCTGATCCAATATGACTGGGGCTGGCCCTGGTCACTCCACCTCACCTGGATTTCCTATCCGCTCCTCCTTTCCTGAAATTGTGCCTCCTCCACAGCAGCTACTTGTTCCAAGCCTTCGGGGCCTCCGCACACACTCTGAATGTGTGGCCTGGGATCTGTACCATCAGGACCCCGCCCAGCTCCCCACCATCACTTCAAACTGCTCTTTCAGCTCAATAGGCCTGGTCCCAGTGGTTTCCTTCTGACTTCTGGTTTACCTGAAGTACTTTCCAGATCTTCATGTGATATTGCTGCTTCTGCTTGGATGCACTCCCTGTGGCTCTCAAATGGCAGCCTCCTCCTTATCCTTCACATCTCAGCTTAATTGTCACTGCCACAGATGGGCCTCCCCTGACACCAGTTAGTCCCCATCTACAGTGCCATAAATGTCACTTTCCCAATAACCTGCTCACTGTCTGTCTCCCCCTACCCAAGTCTATGAGGGCAGTACAGTGCTTGGCATTTAATAACTACTTAATCAACACATATTTGTTTACCCAATAATCCTTGATTAGATGTAAGAAAGTGCTAAAATATGTGACTCAGTATGGAATTTCCAAGGCAGTACAGACAAAGAACTAAACCAAGGCCTGGGCAGCAGGGTGGGACACAGAGGAGCAGGTGTGGAGGCCTAGGGGGGCTGTGTGTTCTGGCCCTCAGACTCTTGCATAGGCACCTGCTCATGGGTGGCTCAGAAAAATTCCAGCAACAGAGAGGAGCAGTAGGGGCACTGGAAGTGGCACAAGGTCACACAGGGTCAGGACTTGGGATTGCAGATTCAGTGGAAGCCTTTTATTTGGTGGCCATGGTCATTATACCCTCCAGAGCCTATCTCCTAGCTCTACCCTGAAGCCATCACTCTGCTCAGCTCTCTGTGCTCCTAGCTAAGCACGGCTTCACCCAGGCTTCTGCTGTAGCCCTTCTGTGCTCTTGCCATTGGTTTAGCCCTTTCCCTGCCACCTTGATACCTCTGCTGTCCCTAAGGATGTACACTTTTCCTGCATGCAGGAGACACATTTCTTATGCAACCTCTTTCCTTCCTCCCTCCTTCCATTCTTTTCTTTTCTTCCCTTCCTTCTTTACTCAAACATATGCTGCCCACTTCCCATGTGATGGCTGCACCACATGACAAAGATGAAAACATGAGGGACACGCTCACACCAGATAGGTCCAATGAATATTAACTGAACACCTACTGGTCCCATGGAAGTAGCTTAAAGAATTTCCTTACTATTTTGGGACATCAAAAATACTTTTTTTTTTTTAGACAGGCTGCCCTTGAATTCACTATGTAGCCCAGGCTGGCCTCAAACTCAGAAATCCTCCTGTCTCAGCCTCCCAGGTGCACTTGGCAAAAAACACTTTAAACATACATGCAGTGTCAGATAAAATTTGTACCTAACAAAGAGGGTGGGTTTTTTTCCCACCATTCTTGTCACAAGACACTGAAAGTTCTGCTTTTCTATAGAAAGAAAATAAGCTACTGTCATTTTGATCCATCCATATAAGTTTGCACATCTGTCCCCTATAGACTTTTTTTTTTTTTTTTGAGGTAGGGTCTTGCTATGTTGTCAAGGCTGATCTTTTTTTTTTTTTGAGGGAGGGGCTTGCTATGTTGTCAAGGCTGATCTTTTTTTTTTTTTGAGGGAGGGGCTTGCTATGTTGTCAAGGCTGATCTTTTTTTTTTTTTGAGGGAGGGGCTTGCTA